GGAGGGAAGGGGGAGGGGAACGCGGCCGATAGACATCGCGTCGAGGGGTATTTCGAGGACCGCGTAAAGTGGTCATTCGCCAACAGAGACCACGCCATGAGAAGCATCATCAACTTTTTCTTGGACGGGGCTAGGCTTAGGTGATTCAGACCTAGTTCGGGGAGGCATTGGGCACGGGTGAGAAGCAAGGGCCTTGCACTGACCTTTGTTCGTCTGATGTTACAGGTGGCTGTTGCTTTTCTTTGACATTTTGGGGGGCCTCTAAAGGGACAAAGCGGGTGTGAATACTGTGAGAGGGAGAGAACCGATCTAGAAGTATTTTCGGCATGGTTTGAAGCCAAAACGCTTTGAAGCCGATCTTGCTTACGTTCTTGATAGGTCTTTGATTCCAGCGGCCACTTGCATCATTGGAGATCATTTTTTGGTCACTGGGAGGTGCTTCGTAGATTGAGGAGCGGGCCCTGAGTCGCGGATGACGCTTGGCGCCTTTTCTGTGCGCTCTCCGTCTCCAACGGCGCCGGTAGAGCGGAACCGCGGCTCAGGGGGTGGTCAGGGGGGTTTTGCGGTTGGCGTTAGAGCTTGAACGAGAGTCGGGAAAGGGAGGATTGAGAGTAGATTTGAGATTTTGGAATCTCTTAGATCACGAGACACTGTCGAAGGGGGAATGCCACATGAAAGTGGTCTCGGACTTGAAGTCTTTTGCGGTCACGGCTTTGACGATGCTCATATCGGACGGATGCGAAAGTGGATATTGTTTTTCAGGTGTTGCAACTTTGCGAGACAGGCACGTTCGTCAGCCGCCGCCCCCCCTATTAGTAGACACGGAATATAGCACGGCCCGGGGCAGATTGCTCGATCATCAGCCGATTCTTTTCGTCTTCGCGGAGGTGAGGAGGGCTCCCACCTGGCCCTTCATGACCAGTATTAAGGATGAGAGAGGAATGTGTGTACCTTTGCCAACCAACATCAAATCAGCCGAATCAGCCAATGTAGGGGAAAGGAGGCGAGATAGGTATCATGATTCCATGTTTCTGGAATGCGAGGAAATCACCCCCGTAGAATTTGTATGGCTCTATAGGCGCGCGTCGGAACTGCCGCCGCAACCCGGCACATCTAGACGCCGGACACGCTTGCTGCATAAATCGGGGGTGGACGGGCGCCTGCTGGCTTTAGGGGAGCCGAGATGAGATAGGTATCCGTACTCAGTATATGGGGGGGGGAGGAGAAGACCGGGGATGAGACGCGGATCGGGATAGGGATGGGATGATGGAATATGCATTGGCTGTGCTGAGTCAGTAGAGGGGGCCGGGTTATGTGGTTTGGTGTGTCGGGCGACGCGGGTATAATATCCAGATGACGACGATGGTGTCCATTCACCGCGTTCTGGCTGTACGAATGCCTGACTGACTGACCATCTAGAGCATTTGGGATGCAAGCTAAGCGCGGAAATAGCTACTTTCCTGAGTACCTTATTATTAAAGAAAGTTAATTCTTTCTAAGTCACAAGTATAAGAATATAGTTTTAATAAAATAGTATAGTACTTACTTAGTATTTAAATTAAAATACTTTTTTAAGCTTATTATAAAAAAAAGATAATTATATTACTAACTACTTACTATCGAGGTCCGTAAGTAGTATTATAATTTTAATTATAATAGTTTTATTTATAATAAATAAAAAGTCTAATTATAAGTCTTTTAAAAGCTTTTAATTAAGAGCTATAAGAGCCTCTAAGTTAAGTTAAAATACTTATTAAAATATTAATAACTAAACTAACTTTATAATAACGATTTTAATAAAATACTTAGTAAATAATATTAGAATCCTCGCTAACGTTAAATATAATTTATAAAATATAATAACGTAGCTATAAAGTATTATTAATATATTTTATATTAAAAAGAGTATTATTAATATTAATAAAATAAATAAGGCCGTATTAATATAATATCTTAGCTTCTTTTTATAATTTAAAAATAATTATTTTAAATAGTATTAAAAATTTATTAAAAAGCTCTCTTAAGTACTCCGGTATATTTATTACTATTTTTATAATAATAAGATTTTTAATACTTATATATAAAAATAAATTATTTATTTTTAAATAATAATACTAGCTTATTAATAAGCTATTAAAACTACGATTCTAGCGATCCCTTAACGAGGGAGAGGGTAAAATAAAAAAAAAAATAAGTAAGAAAAGGGTTAAGGTTAAATAGTACGGAATTCGAGGGCAGGGTAGCGTCTACATATACTGCGGCAATCCTCTAGTAATGCAAAACGATAGAGTTAAACAGTGGGAAATGGCTGCTTGTCCCGGCCGCTCGCTCGCTGCTGCTGGTCTCGAATAGTTTGTTTCTGCTCGGTTGAGACATTGGGCGACGAGTGGCAGGGAAACCAAGCGGCTCCGGGTTTCTCTCTTTTCTTTTTACCGACTGCTCTCTATTCCACGAGTGGGAAATCTGATGGCCGATGGAGGACTGAGACCTGGAGCGGTGACGATCCCGCGTGGGGCGGTAGTTCTGATGGAGTGGTTAGGTATCTGAGAAGGATGGAAAAAAGCAACTTTATTGTACGTGTGCTCCATGGGCCAACGCTGGCCGCTGGAACGGGCTGCGATCGGGGTTTTGCAAAAAAAAGTTTCTTTTCATCAGTACCATTGGTTCGAGTCCCTGTCCCTTTGAATCGCCTTGGCACTTGGCTCTTCGTTTTCTGTACCATGAGCCGTGTGGTTGTCTCGCGCGGCATGCCGGAAGTTATAGCTTGTCTTTTTTTACGAAAGGGAACTGCATACATCTCACGGTCCGCTGGGTGGCCGGCTTATAGTGTCTGCATGTGTAGAACCGGTCTCCGCTGTTCTCAACTATCCACGGAGAGAAAGTGCAAAGTAAGAGAGAGGTTTGTTGAACGCTATCTAAGGATCCGCAACCACCACGTCTTGGACGGGAAAACGGGGAGAATAGCAGCGGGAGAGAGAGAGAGAGAAGCTATGGCTTTTTAGTTGACGACTAAGGGAACTTTCGCGGGTCAAGGCACTGGTCACTGCTTCCCTGGTGGTCACTGCTGCTTGTCCGGTGCCCTTGATCAGTCGAAGAAACGTCCATCTCAGAGACCGACTCGCGTGGGGAACGGCGGACCGACAGAGACGGTTGCTCAAAGAAAGGAACAGCGACGATCTCGTGGCATTTCAGGGGAAGCGCGGGAGGGGGGGGAAAGGGAAGATCAATGGATTGCTCTAAAAGAGGAACAATGAGAAGAAAGATTTTGTGGCGTCTTTCTTTCTTGCGGCTTGAGGGTTTTGAAACGGAGACAATCGCTACTCTACTGCGTAGGTGACGCCAAAGCTCAAAAGGATTGGCGATTTTTTGGGGTTCGTTTGGCGCTGAGCGCTTGTGCGGATCTGGTCTGGGAGCCTGTTGACGAACGAAGTTTCGCTCCTAGCCTCGATTGCTTACGGATGGCTGGCTGGCTGGTGTCGTGCCTATGTGGTTCCTGGAGGGTACCTAACCATAGGCTATCCGCGTAGGAAGGGCTGTTCCTGGCTTCCGAGATGCCACAGTCTTACGACTTTTAGTTGCCAAACCTGTCGAGACTCTGGCACTGGCCATTGTGTGAGTGGGGGGGGGGGGGGGGGGGGGGTTGTAAAGGGGGGGGGCAAGGAGGGGAGGGGACCAGCAGGGGGGGGGGGGGAGGGGGGGAGGGTGTGTTGGGCGGGGAAGGGTGGTGAGGGGGGGGGGGGGGGGGGGGGTGGGGTGGGGGGTGGGGGGGGGGGGGGGGGGGGGGGTGGGGGGGGGTTGTTTAATAAGGGGGAACCAAGGCTAAGTTGCGACTACGCCATGCGGCTGTGAAGAAGGGGAATAGGTTTTGTGCCAAGGCTGAATGGTGTACGGAGTACGGGTGTCTGTCAGTGTGAGAGGGGTTGAGATGGGGTAAAAGAGAACACGATGGTGACGTTGACGGTTGAGCGCGGGCTGTATGCAGGCAACTGAGTAAGAGGCTGAGTGGTTTTTTTTTTGTTTTTGGTGATATCCGCTGGTCTATATGGAGCCCCTTCGCGAGAAACGGGATCGAAACGCCATCGCCCGTCACCATCGGCGACACACGATCTTGACGCGCGGGGAAAGTCTAGGTTGATGAAGAAGAAAACCTGGAATGCTCAAACGCGATGCACGAGAGCGGGTTCTTTTCCTCGGTTTTGAGATTGTGTTCAGACCATTGAGTTCTGGGACGGGGCCTAGGAGGTGGTTAGGAGGTTAGGAACTCAATCATTCCAATGGTATCTTCGTCATTGACTTTGCGGAGCCAACCGGGCAATTAAGGAATCATGGCAATTTTTTAATCTTTTTTTTGGGCAGTTGTCTGGCCAGAATAGTTTCAGTAGCGTTATGGCGGGTACTATCTGCGAATTGAGACTTTCCCAGTCATGGAATTGGAGAATCACTCGCTGCAACGGTAACGTGTAAATTATTCCATATGGGCACATTCGGTTCCCATTCTCCATTTCCATCCATGATGAATTATTGTTCCATCTCGCTTGCAGTAATAAGTCTGACCGCCTAGGATCGTCAGGTCCCCTTTTCTGAGGCGAGATTTGCAACCCGCAGAAAGTCAGTGAGTTTGTATCATTAAAGGAAGGCACATAAAAAATAAAATAAAATAAAAGAGTCAGTGCCCACGCGCGTTCAACGGGCGATGCTAAGAAAAGATACAAGGCCGTTGACTGGACGGAAACACGACGCATTGATATTTAATAGAAAATCCCGTCTGCCCGTTCTTTTTCGTCTTTTTTGACGTTCGCGTGCTCCCGCGTTTCTGGCATGTCTGATTGGACTGTCGCGGTGTGGGGTAAAAGTCTTTTTTGGAGATTTGGATTCGGGGTGGGGGGCACTTGCTCGACTGGGGGTAGGGAAGGCGCGCTGTGACTGGTGGGCAAGTGCGAGAGCCACCGAGAGCTCGGGAAGCCCTTTCCTTCTTCCCCTTCCTTGGTTCGTGGTGGGGCTCAATTGGGGGGAGCTGATTGGACATCGAAAGACCTTCCCCTGTAAGGGCCAGGAAAGCGTGTCTTTTTTAGTTTAGTGGAAGCGTGGGGCAGGGCGTCTTTTGAGGCTTGGAGATTAGGTGAGAGTGGTACATGGCATATTGCACTGGGCTTTGGGAAGAGCCGAAGGAAGTGAGTGCCGTAAGGTATGGAAACTACCTCACGCTGTAGGAAAGCGATCGCGATGGACAATGGTAACGAAAGCGTGGTGGTGCCGAGTTTGGTTGAAGGCACTGGCGAGCTTGCAAGCGTGAGGATCCTCCGACGTGGAGACTTTTCGATACTCGAGAAGAGAAAAGAAACCAGAAGCAGAAAAAAGCAAAGTCGGGCGTTTCCTGTCCGTTCCCTCCGCGACGAGTCGTGTCTCTCCCTACGCAAAACCCCCTCCATGTGGGAAATATGATATTACTCTGATATACCATATATATACACATATAATTCTGAACGCATAGATCTTTGAGGGACTCTTCCAGGCCTCGAGGCATTGACGAACGACCAATATTCATCTCGAACATTTTCCACCTTTCTATTCGGCAGGAAAGGGACACATACTCACATTGAAGGACCAGGTGGAGAAGGTACCCGAAAACGTACCTAGCGCCGGGTGGATTTTCACGGCATAACTGCGCCGTGCTGTAGCAGCTGGAAGAACCAGGAACTATTCCACTCCGACGTAAGCGTGCCCAGCCCTAGGATTAGGATGTGTGGATTTCACAGGTCCGTGGACAGGGGATAGCCTCGCAAAAAGGATGGAGCGATGGACATGCCTACAACGTATGTACCTAACGGCCGGGAGGTTCCATGCTCTTAACTGGCAAGGAGAGGCGCGTAATGAGAGAATATGCACGATGCATCTGGTTTCTTGCTTTTTTGTACAGGCAATCGGTGCATTCAACTGCATCCGTAAAGGAAGAGGACCAGAGAGTTCCGGGACAACTTGGACAAGTATGACAAGTCACAAGAAGCCCTCAATTCGTGTAGCTGGATCTGGACCTGCAGAGCCAATCTCCAACGAAGAACCAATTGGCAACCTTCAAGGCGACCAATTGTGTTCTCACCCCCCGGTACGCCTTGAACCGTTCCCATCGTTGTGCATGCAACTTGGTAAAGTGGTTGCGCCTCTTGGGGCCATTAGGGAGGAACATAAAAACGCCCATTGCATCCGGATAACCCAAAGCACATCCAATTAATGAGGTAAGCCAACGCCTTGCTCCACACAACCGCGATTGAAAAAGTATCGAATTGGCGGCTCTAGGCGTTTGGTTGGGTTTCTGTCGGACGCGCGCTGCGGGAAGCTTCAGCTTTCCACGCCCCGAAGTCTGGAAGGCTGAAAGCGAGCGTGGTGAGATTGGATTGCGAAGACGCGCTCGCCGAAAATGGATACCGCGACGAGGATCAGACCGTACGATGGATCGATCAAAGGGTAGTTGGATGACACCGGACAAGTCTCCTGCTAGCCCTTTTTTCGGTTTCCAATCGTTGACATGAAGCAGGGGAAGCAGGATGGAAGCTTGGGAAAAAAAAAGGTCTCTTGCACAGTTGCAAAGTCTCAGCAATCCTTCCCCCCCCCTTTGCCCCCTTAGCGTCCGTTCCTGCAAAGGCCGGAAGTATCAAGTTTCCTGGGGGTGCGTAGGCCGGGCGCACGTGCCGAGAATGGGTAATTGAACTGTGAGAAAGACTGCAGCACTGGCACTTGCACTGGCTTTTCCCAGGTTTAGGTAGTCTTGAATCACACACACACAGCACACACACACAAGACAAGAAATCCCGTGCATCATTTAATCGAACCCCTACTCCATTTACGATGGGCCGTTTTCGAATCTCGATACGTCCGAGTGTCGTGACGGACGTGTGGTTTTCGCGTTTTTGTAGTAAGAGCATGCATGCACCTCAATGACTTGTGGTGGTGGACAGTCGGAGGTTGCGGTAGGTTTTACTTGAAGCTTGAGAGCCAAGCCCAAGACCGGGGACAAGGCAGGTGAAATTTACACAGTAGTCATCACGAGCCCGTTGGGAAGTGTTCCGTTACGGGGTACAGGTGTAGATGATTAGATTCGGCCGTGAGTTGCCATTGATCGTCTCTTCATCTGCGTTTCTGGTAAGTGATCTGAGGAAAAATGCTGGGTTGCCTGAGTGGATGGAGACAAGAGTATTGTGTGCGTCCGAAGCAGTCGAGGCGGTTCAATCCTACGCAATATGATTGCACAATCGCTGGTTTGGTTGGCGACGATATGTCAGCGTAATCCATTAAAAAAAGAAAAAAAGTGCAACAACCAAAGAAAAATACATCGTGACATCGTCATCCCTTCTTTCCCAGCCCGGCCGCGGCCGCCGTGGCCCGTCCTCCGTCCCGAAACCGCCAACCACTGGGAACTGTGGGAAGGTGCAAAAGTGTGGCTGGGGGTTGGGTGTTTCCTTCTAGAAGCTCGACCGCTGAGTGGATGACGGCCGGTGCGGGTGCTGTTGACATTTGACGACAACTGCAGCCTTGATTGGGTCTGCCTTCTCCGTTGTCCACCTCGCGTTTCTTACGGCAGACCACCTCACCTCACGTAACGGATACCTAGTTATGTCTTCAGTTCAATCGATTCCCATCAATTTCTCTCTGATGGAGGCCCGTCCCGACCAAGGCCCGCGCTTGAAATTTATGCGCACGATGCACAACGCACGAGGATTTGACAGACGTGCATAACAAACATACACACACCGCCTGGGTCTAATGTGGCTTTCTTTTCTCGCAATGTCCGAGATGTCGATAATAAATAATAAACAACAAACAGTCTCACGATCCACCAAGATAACAACAGCATGGCCGGCTCGACCACGACCCGGGCCCTGGGAAAGGAGGCCACGTTGAAGGGCTATGTGGAATGACGGACATTATATCAATCGCCGTCCAGGGCATCGGATCCAGACATGCCATGCGAATTATCCTCGAAAGCTTATGTCACCCATTTCATTATTGCACATTACCTACGAATACTGTATCCGTACTCCGTACCTTGCGCATCCCGTTGCACGACACGCCTGACACGATCCCGGATGCACGACCGAGACACACAAGCCACTCTTATTTCCGTTTCTCGTTTTCTCAGCTGCGTCTCCGTACCTCGTACCTCACTTTGTCGATTCCGAATAGTTCAACTAAACTAAACCCACCAAGTGATCCACGCCTGGTACTATTGCACAGTACTTCATACATACTGCGTACACCCGGGCTTCGACAAGTGGACCACATAGACGGCATATCGTCGTCATTTTCCAACGCTTCATATCGCCAAAAACCAGTGCTGGGGCGGTCCCACGAAGTATTCCCACCATTGCTGCGTGTTATCCACCGGCGACGCTGCAAAGTGTACGGATACCGTGGTACCTTGGTCCCAAGCCCACGGGTTACGCCGTGAAAGCAAATTCGAACGCCACACCACACTGAACACACGAACCAGGAAACCCTGCAAAAACCATCTGAATCCGTACCGCGTCGTGAGCCAATCCCAGCGGGGCGTTCTATCCTTCCCGTTAATCCCTGCTCCCAACACCACGCACACACGCCTCTGCGTGGTATCACTGGCTTTCCATCACCTATCCATGCCTCGCCTTGCCTAGCACAAACACGACCCATTACACGCAGAAGCTTGGTGTAGATAGAACCTGAGGAAGAAGCGGCTCCAATCTTGCTTTTCATATCCCAGGATTATCTCTTTCTACGCCAAGAAAGAGACTGAATTGGACCTGGTCCCGAGAGCCACCGTCCGTCCACTCGCCCGCAGTCCACACACACCATACACCGCTCACGTAACTCTCCCTGCTTGAGTGTACTTCATACGGGTCTTCATCGTACTACCTGACACCCGCTCGGCACGCATTGGCACAGTCCTCACTCCTCAACCTCCCACCTCATACCAACAACGGCACAGCACAACTCAATTCCGTCACGTCCACTGGTCCAGTGGGAACAACGCAGTAACCAACTACCTTGTTCAACAGGCGATCCCATACGCACCAATCATCCGTCCCGAGCGCGACTACCACCCTGCTGCCAGTCTGCCACTGCCTCAGCCTGGGCCAAGTCTGACTCTGACATCCAGCGAATTGGCCTTGTATGTACTCCGTTCGCTCTGGGTAATCCGTAAGCCCTGAAAGAGAACGTTACCGAAGCTCCATCTCGGGCTTCTAGAGTTCCTTCAACGGAACGGCCCCAGAACCGGCTTCTACGAAACGAACAAAGACGGGCGCTGGTTGTATTTGGCATGCTTCACTCCTGAGCTGCCGCAGCAATTAGCACTAGCATCAGCATCAGCATCGGTATTGCTTGGTGTTGGTTTTCTCGACCGGCCCAGTCCACCCCGTCCATCAGGCTGTTCCTTTGATCGAACTTGGTCGGCGCCGTCGAATGACATTGCCCCATTGCCTCCCAATCCCCTTCCCCTCTCTCTTCAGAACCTCGATCCGTTGGCTTTGTTCGTTTGAAGTCTTGACGCCTCCTGCCCAACCTTGTCCTGTACAAGCTACTGCTTCCTCTTGCGGGCCGTATCTTACGGGTGATACCTTACGTGGAAACGTACCATATTCTCGGACACACAAAGAAACAGAGGCAGAGACAGAAAAGACTCAAGTTGGGGATAAAGCAAAGGCACATTGGTACCGAGTTGCGCTAAGCCCAAGCATTATTCGAGAACAAGGAAAACGCGCGCGGAGCTGCTGCACAAAACCGGACATTTGATATTTCGGATTGGCATTGCTACCAGCCAGCCAGCCTACGGTTACGGATTACCACCACCACTGCCACTGGAACTCTGTATCTGTACGGTACCTAGCTTGCCCCTTCGCCCTGTATTATTCGGGGAAGAGAAAGGGTGTCAAAGGTCTCGCGGGGGTGGGCCAGGCCAAACTAGGACCAAAGCTCGTCAGGAGCTGCTGCTGCTGCGCACCACCACTACTTGGTGCGCACCACAAGCACCACCAGACGTATCCAATCGAAGGCCAGTTCGCTCATTTTCACACTTTCTGACGATCCACTTGAGCAAAAAGGTACTGCTCAGCGCTCACTCTTTCTCGGCGGGCGGCGCTGTCGACAGGCATTCGGCTTGCTGGGGGTGGCGCGCGCAGATGACCGGGAGACAAGACAGGAGACACGACGAAAGGCACGGCGAGCAGCAGGAGACCGTACCGTACTTGTTAAACGTGCTTGGACAAGGCAGACAAGACAATCAGACAATCGTCAGAGAAGAGGCAGTCGACAGAACAAGCAAAGCAGGCAGGCAGGCGAGCGGCGAGCGGTGTCGACAATTGGATTGTATACCTGCTGCGTCGACGCAGTCATCCTCATCCCTCGCTTCTTCCCTCGCTGCGGGCTTCATTATTAGGTACCCCGTACCAAGGCATCCATC